GATGTTATAATATCTCATACATTGGTACAAAGTTACGATCTTTTTCTCTATAGGCTTTTTTCTATTTTAAAAGACACTGTCTCAGAATTCCGGATATCCGAAAAATGTCGAATATCCGACTTGAAGAAGTTACCTTCTCGGATATTCGATCGGATACCGGATATCCGATATTCGGTATTCAGTAATTTTACGATTCGGTGCATCCCTAATTTTAATTGAACAAGTGTTGTCGAGCTATCTGAACGTAAACGAAATGTGATCGAAATCCTGGTTAAGTGTAATAAGCGTGATAACATTATAAAGTATTAGGAGATTTCATTTACTCGGTAAATATTTCAAAAAAGTATTATGTTTTCTCTTATTATGTTTCATCTTAGAGCCCTTGAGGTTCACTTCAAAAAATTATTTTATTAAAACACCTGAAAAATCTTTTAATGCTTTTGTTCTCTTTGGTGTCTTTTAGTCTATTCTACATTATTTTTTTTAATCGAGAAATTTAACTGAATGCATTCCTCTGTTGGCGATGGCGCATATTATTCGACGATGCTGCATTTCAAATCAATTGACAGAAATATGGACTAAATATTGTGTGTGTGGATAACATTGTAAACATGGATTGTTACAAGAAATCTAAAATTCAAACAGCTATTACTTGATAAAAAATAGTCGTACTATCATGAACCGAAGTTCGTTTGAAAACTATTGAATTATATTTTCACGTGCCGCTCATTTTATTTAAAAATCAGTTTCCTTTTTGTTGCAAAATTTTGTTAATTTTGACCAAAAACATTATTTTTGCCTATTTCATTCCAATTTACTCAAAATCCTAATGTGCTGGGCTAATTCTGGCAATAGCATCGTGTTCAGTGCGAAAAAATCTTCAGGAAATATACTGTCACATTTCGGAAAGAAAACAAAAAAGTGATTTTTTGTCGCACTATCCTCATGATCACATGTTGATAGAAGCTTCTTTAAATGTTTGTTGAACATTAGATACGTATAGAAAACGTATATAAAACGTACGAGGTCTGTTCAAAAAGTATCGCGAATTTTGGATTTCCGCGGGTTACGTATATTCGATTTTCGATTTTTTTGTGGCGTTATGTTGGTACTCATGTCTTTCACTTATGCCGACAAATTCGGCCATTTTGAATGTTCAGTTAATTTTTGACAGCTGCTTTTCTTGCACGTGTTTTGGTTCGTCTTCGATTTTTGCCTATTCCAAAAAATGGATCAAAGAATCTGTATCAAATTTTGTGTGAAAAACAAAATTAAGTGCGCGGACGCATTCCGAATGTTGACTGTGGCATATGGTGAAGCTACCTTGGACCGAAGCAACGTTTATCGGTGGTACAAAATGTTCTCAGAGGGCCGAGAAGATGTGAACGACGAAGAGCGTGCCGGACGCCCGAGCACGTCAACAACAGACGAAAACATTGATGAAGTGAAGAAAATAGTATTGGCCAATCGTCCACCGTCAGAGAAGTTGCTGAGGATTTAACATATCAATTGCCTCGTGCCATTCGATTTCTACCAATGATTTGGGTATGTGAGACGGGTCGCCGCGAAATTCGTGCCAAAATTGGCACATTTCGACCAAAAACAGCATCGCATTAACATTGCTAAGGAGCTGTTGGACTCTGCCGCAAGCCACCGTATTCCCCAGATCTGGCCCCCTCTGACTTTTTCTTGTTCCCGAAACTGAAGAGGCCCATGAAAGGACGACGCTACGCTACGATTGAGGAGATAAAGACGACATCGAAGGAGGAGCTGAACAAGATCACAAAAAATGATTTTTTGAAATGCTTCGAGGATTGGAAAAAACATTGGCACAAGTGTATAATATCTGATGGGGATTACTTTGAAGGGGATAAAATAGATAGTCATGAATAAATAAATAATTTTTGAAAAAACACAAAATTCGCGATACTTTTTGAACAGACCTCGTATATGAATCAATAGATGCTAGGGATATAATATAT